CTTTCACTTTCATTACAATATCTACGGGTGGGTTTGTTTGTTGTTGTTGTTGCTTTTTTGTTGTTGTTGTTCGTTGCTTTGTTGTTGTTGTAGTGGGGGGGGGGGGGTTGGGGGGGGGTTGGGGTGGGGGTTGGGGGAGAGACAGTGAGGTGCATAGAGGTCGAATGTAAAGCTGTTGGACTACAGTAAGTTTGGCAGTTTAAATTGTAGATTTCTAATAGTGTCACATTCTTCAATTTTGTAGTAAAATAAAAGAATGGCTCATTATTTTCAGTATAAATCTATGGTTTGAGTAGCGCAAAAAGTATTTGTAAAGTCTCTTCCTTTTTCAAAAAATTTTGGCAGATACAATCTGAGTCTCTTTGTTACTATTAAATCATAGGAACACTTCAATCTAACCCTATCCCCCAACGCTAAGTTTAAGACGAAATTAAAGGCTGAATCTTACCTACCCCCTAGGCTAGCGCTACGACTAAAATGAAGGGCTAATCATTATCCTAAGGAAACAAATTGGCACAATAGTCACTCCGGGTTTTTTTTAACAAAGAGCTATCAGGAAGGTTCTGGGCCTGGTGAAGTTCAGGTTAACAAGATGCCAGATTTTTTTCACAATGGGCAGGTAATTTCTTTTTCAAACAGTGTTTTTTATGTTACACATTCAACATAACACCGGCCCTGCTCGTCACAAGATGAGTGGCCTCAAGTAGGGCTAATTGAATGTTGTCCAAAAACATATCAGTAAAGGTTTTTGTTTCAGTTATCACTACACTGTGTTGAAAGACAATTGACCAGGCTACAAGACAATGTTAAGTTTACTTTTTTATCTTCAGTGAGTCCAGAGTTGCCACAGTTGTTTTACTAGGCTAATGTCCAAAAGTAGACTTACTTAAAACAGCAATAGAGCTTTAGTTTAAGTAGACTTACTTAAAACAGCAATATAGCTTTAGTTTAAGTGTTGTATAGTCAACTTTAGTTCTTAAAATCAATATAACCCAAAGTTTAATACCAAAATAGAAAACACTACTTTTGTGTCATATTTTTTTAAAAGTGAATACAAGTATGAAAAATACAATTTCCTGTCGAAACGTAACTAAGGGAAAGTCACAGTTGGTTTTCTTTTAATACTTACTCTGGGTTGTTTTTTAAATACTAGTAGTCCTACATGTATTTTTTTATTTTTTGGCTGGATTTTTTTTTATCAAGAGTTTCATTGTCTTCCTGCCCCTTATGGCATAAACACCCCTGAATGTTTTTCTATGTCTAATCCTTATTTAATATAATGCCAAACTCATAAATTGGGACGAGGGGGGCTTGGAATTGGGATTCGGGAAGGGAGAGAGGTTGGGGTGGTAGGAATGTTTCCATGACACCCACACCTTTTCATAGTTCTTCATAAACGTTCTATAGGCCCTATACTCGCTTTGATTCAGTCACTAAGAAATAAACCATCTCGTTGATAAGGTGCTGAAGAAAAAATAACCTTGTTTGTTGTTGTTTTTGTTTGTTTGTTTTAAAGCCTATCTATCTCTGTCTATTTAATAATACATTTATTTGTAGATCTAGTTGTAGAAAGTAGGCTGTAGTATTGCTTTCTAGTAGTCTAGATATTATAGTACGCAATAGCGCCCGTGTTTTAAAAAACAAACAACGGCCAAGCCTCGCCTATTGCTTAAGAGAGAGAGAGAGAGAGAGAGAGAGAGAGAGAGAGAGAGAGAGAGAGAGAGAGAGAGAGAGAGAGAGAGAGAAAACATGCCTTGCCCATTGCATTAGCAAGAACCCCTTCACAGAGGGAAATTCGTGTAAAGTGCCTTGCACAAGGACACAACGTTGGACCGAGCTGAGGCTCGAACCCCTGAACCCGTAATCTCATGATTACGAGTTCGGTAGCCTAACCACTAGGCCACCGACGCCACTGCCCTTTTAGAGTTTCAGATAAAGAAAGCAGAACTGAAAAATCTGTATGAATAAGAAAGTTTGGTTTCTTTTTTTTTATCAAGTACCCCAAAACAGCACGCCCTCAATGAGGTGAGAATATAGCGAAGAAATATTTCCCTCCAAAATAAAACCAAGGCTAAAGTTGCAAGCTATCAACAAATCCCCATATACGGAGAAAAAAAATTAAAAATCTGTCTATTCCACACAGTTCATACTGCTACTTGTCTTTCTTGAGTTTCAAATTTTTTTTAAAATGTGTATGAAAAACATATTTTAGCCGTGAAATAAAAAGAGTTTTGAAGCAATGTTAAATTACCAAAAAGCATAATAATATCCTCGATGAGTGAACAATTCAATGTCCGGGCAACCCACAAATCCTTTTAGAGTGACGATGATAATTTAAAGGCACAATTTAAAAAAACAAAAAAACCTCTTTCAACAGCTTTCTTTTTCCGCTCTTGAAAGAATCTGTATCAGTGCTGATAAGCAACGATAACATTTGCAGTGTGTCTTTATAGCTGGGACAAAGATGGATACTTCTATTCGCCAAACTCTCTCTCTCTCTCTCTCTCTCTCTCTCTCTCTCTCTCTCTCTCTCTCTCACACACTCATTCTCTCTCTTACCCTCAATTCTTCTCTCTCCCCCTCCAGTCTCCTCTATTCTCTTTCCATAGCTTTATACCTCCCTCTCTCTCCACCCCTCTCTCGGTAATGAATACTTCGCACAGGCATGTGTTATAACTGTTTTTGGTGTATTATTGTAATATCTATAAGCATTTAAAGTTATGAAATCTGACACGTTCACCTCGAAGAGATAATCTGATTTTAAAATAATATGGTTTGAAGAAAAGAAGAGACCCCCCCCCCCCCCAACCCAAAAACAAAAATTTCTTTTTAAAATTAATAAAATAAAAATATATAGATATATACAATATATTATCCGTAAAAATCACATGATGTTCAAGTTTGGTCGGCTTTTCGACCACCCAAATAGGTGTGATAAACGCAAAAATGTGTGAATATTGAATTTATAGTGAAGTCGAATAGGCATAATATGCTCTTCCTTGCAGCCTTTGTGTTCGTCTCCACTGTTTAGAGAAGCATTACTCTTACATCATGACAGTGTTTGATAACCGGAGCCTGGACTTTAGGGTGAACAAAGACGCAACATCATGGTAGCATCATCAAGTACCAGACTTGCGGCATGTAGAATCTAGGAGATTTTGGTTCTCCGTTCATTTCCACTCACGGATACTCTGAAGAAAGCTGTATGATTTTTTCCGGTCGCTAATTCATTTAGGCTTTCCTGTTTAGGTTCCTCTGGGTCTACACCTGCCTCGTTTGCTTCAATTATGCTAGTGTGAGCTTTGTCTTAGCGGTCTTTATTTTAACTCAAGTGTCACAGAAACTGAATGTGTCTTTTCTATTGGCAAGTGACCCACGTTGATCGTTTAAGAGGCGGGCTTCCGACTCTGCATGTCATACAGGGCCGTCCCAGGTATAATAAAATTATGGTTTCCAAATGTATCAACTTCTAAATAGCCTCACAAGCAACTCGATCAGGCACCCACTTAAAAAAATGTGAATACTGTTATGATCTTGAAGATAATCAGGTATCAAAGAGCTTCACAAATAGGATTAAATCTATACACGCACTTAAACACACACACTCACAAACACACACACACATGCACACACATCCATACTACCACACACAGAAACTCGTACACACATACAGACTCACAGACGTGAGCCAAGAGAGAAAGAGAGCGAGAAAGATAGAGAGAGAGAGAGAGAGAGAGAGAGAGAGAGAGAGAGAGAAATAGGAGAGGATAGGAGAGAAGTGGCAGACAGACAGATAGACAGACAAACAAACAGATAGATAGATAGACAAATACACAGACACACAGACAGAAACCACGTGAGACAGAGAGTCAAAGAGAGGGGACCAAAGAAAAAACAACAACCACAACAACGTCGGAACGTGTACGTAAGTGCGTCATGTAAGTGTGTGCGTATGTCTCCGTCTGTGGGAATGTATGTGTGTGTGTGTGTGAGTGTGTGTGTGTGGGGGGGAGAGAAAGCAGGGAG